ATCTCATCCAGAGTCTAGTGTTTGAGTACTTGAGTATCGAAGACCTGTCGTCGACGGCCAGCTTTCCTCCCGAAGTGGATCGGCTCAAGAAGTACATCAACTCTGTTGAAGAGCTGCAGTCCGTTCGCCAAAGATTGGCCGCAGAGATCGCCGACAACTCCATTGCCATCAGAGAGCTGGTGGTGAGGGCCGAAGACGCCCGGCTTATCGGCGAAATGTATGCATTTATTCATTTGTTTTTGTAGTTTTTATTTCATGTTTTTTTTGTTTAAATTGTTTAGAAAATTGATGAAAGACTTCTACAATGATTTGAATGCATTGAACAACGATCTGATCACTGAATATAAGATCCGGTGCCAGAATCACACGGATCTGGTCGAGAGTCTCAAACAGGTTAACGTTATTATACAAAGGGCTGGCAATCTAAGAGGTAATTACCAATTAAATGTGTAAAACATATTAAGTAATTCATTGAATATTTGCTTCATTGCATCGAAACAGTGGGTAAACCAAAGTCACAACTAATCAATTCGTGTCGAAACGCTATCCAACAAAACAATTTGAATCTATTGTCACGTATTATAAGCGAAGGAGAGTTTTGAATATAATATATCGGTTCAGATCTTTGGTACCAAAAGAGATAATCATTTTCTGTTTTATAAATAATGCATAAATCTCTTATAAAAATAATTTATTTTAAAATTAAATTATTGATTGAATTCATAACATGAAAATTCAGTTCATAAATATATTTTGAAAGGAGATATTATTTTTTTAAAAATAAGCGCTGGTAAGCGGTGCGCCTCCTACAGCCCTCACGCCCACAATGTTAGCCCTTTTTGCTAGACATTATTTTAACATTAGTAAGCATTTTGTTAAGCGCCACAAACCAGTTCATTAGGATCGACTGGTATGTAGGCGTTGCTTCGCCGGCAAAACCCAGATCACCTAGGTCACATACGTGCGCAAATTTGATCTGATCTTTAGTGAGCTCTTTTAACAATGGTGCGGCCACTTTGTCCAACTTGTCATTTGCCCAGTGAAATGTATCGTACATGTGCTGTTTCACTATAGCTTGAGATTCATTGCTATTGTGCACTTCAGCTGTTTTGCTCATAAATTCCTTCGTATAACTGTCACATCAATGGTAGAGCACATCATTGTAATCATGTTATTATTATATTCACATTACATAATGACAATTGCTTAAATAATTGCGTAACAATCATTATACCAAATAAATTTGAGCAAGTTGATTTTAGTATCCTTTTTCTGGGCCTCAAGCAACACATTGAGGAACAGAATTCGGATATCCTTAGCGCCAAACTCATCGACCTTAGTGTCCGAACACAAGTGCCACGTGTGAGGCCTAAAGGGAGGGCACGACATGTTTCAATATTAAGTTAATAAAATAATATAAATTAAATAAATTATACATAATTGGCATTAGATTATACTAACTCATCGGAAGTAAAGTTCCTACATTGAGCGGGTGTCGGAGCCTTCTTGTCGGTGGAGAACACCATTTTGCTTACAGCTTGCAATTCGGTGCTCGCTTTGAATTTCTTGGCGATGAATTTAACCGCTTCTGCTTTAATTTCTTTCGTCTCCCTATATATTACATCAAATAATTAAATTTTATTTATAAGTATTTTTAAAATAACGATTTTATCATATATCTCATAAATAAACTTTATATGACAAATATTGTCAAAAATGGTGCTAAATATCTACCAAGAAATGTATTTTAAATTGATCATGTGCGTATGTAAACATGTGTAGAGTATAATGTAATGTACAGACGTTTACACACTAATCATATGGACAATTAATTACAATAAGAAATGGCATACAAGTGCCGTACGCCGGGCGGCCATACTTGCAATATCTAATCACATAGTCTTTAATCGTCGTTTCATTGCAATCCAGACCTTCGTCGCCGTAAAACAG